CATACAGCACAATTTGGATTCTGCTGGTCCTAAAAGAGGATGGGATATTGTGATCGGAACCTCTGACCTACTGCCATATCAGTCAGAAGCACCAGTGACACCTGGACTGGCAATTGGCATCTGAATTTGGGAAAAGTCTTGTAGGACTCAGCCCTTAACCTGTGGGGTCTAACATGATCCTTGGGAAGAATTCACTTACATTGTACAATACGCAGCTGGTATCACAGAGAATGGCTTGATGTGGGGGAAAAGCCCACACCGGAATCTGGAGCAGACCTGGGGGCTCTGAAACAATCTTTGCTATTCCTTATTTCCAGAAGTCTCTCATGCACACATTTTCTCTCTTTTTAAACATTTATTCGTTTCAGAGGTAGAATTTAGTGATGCATCAGTTGCATCTAACACCCAGTGGTCATTACATCAAGTGCCCTCCTTAATACCCGTCACCCAGTTACCCCATCCGCCCACCCCACCTCCCCTCCAGCCACCCTCAGTTTGTTGCCTACAGCTAAGAGTCTCTTATGGTTTCCCTCCCTCTCAATTTTCATCTTATTTTTCCTTCCCTTCCCCTATGTTCATCTGTTTTGCTTCTTAAATTCCACCAATAACTGAAACCATATGATAATTGACTCTCTGCTTGACTTATTTCACTTAGCATAATCTCCTCCAGTCCCATCCATGTTGAGGTAAAAGTTGGGTATTCATCCTTTCTGATGGCTGAGTAATATTCCACTGTATATATGGACCACATCTTTATCCATTCATCTGTTTAAGGGCATCTCGGCTCTTTCCACAGTTTGGCTGTTGCGGACATTGCTGCTATGAACATTGGGGTGCAACTCACGCACACGTTTCCAAACTGATGGCTACTACGACTTGCTTATTCTGTATGAGTGGAAATTTTGAAGCTTTTGTGTTTTCCCCAAATAGTGATGTGACAAACATTTCTCCAAACCAAACCAAGCCAAATCAGGAACGGCTTTATTTCCATGTTGGGTTATTTTAATAGTACATATTTTGAAAAAAGGAATTCCAAAAGGTTATGAAAAATCTGAAGGTCCTTATTTTTGCTGTATTTGCAAAATCCAGTTTTGGGGAGTCTGTTAACTTAATAATAAAGAAAAGTCCTACTATTTCTTAGTAACTGGTCAGTGTGGTTTTTTCCCCCCACATCTATGTTCTGAACAAAAGATTCAAAGCAGCCGTGTCTTGATTTCAAAAAGGAAAGAAAATTCTGTTATTATAGAAACCTAATAGAAGAAAAGAATCTACACATCTGTGTAATAGCAGGCAACAAATGAGAATTAGGCAAAGTAACATCCTATCAGGCACGTACAACATCGAGCCTCATCAGCTGGGGGTGCCCGCTGGAGACAGCCAGGCTGGAGTCCCGACTGAGGCCTCAACAGGGCATCCTCCCCATCAGTTGAGACTTGCAACGGACTGGCCCCATAAGGGCCCTATTTATAGGGCAAATGACGGGGTCTGAAGTCAAACATCTGTTTGCCTAGGAGGAGCGAGCTGCATTTCCATGTTTTCATGTTTCTGATGGGGTTTTGTAAGTGAGGGTCGGTGGGATGAGGTCTGGAGCTGACAACCAAGAAAGAATTCTTGAGATATCTGTGGTGCAAAATGGGGACAGAACCCGTGGGCAGAAAGAGCTTGCTGCCCCAGGGGCCTTATAATTGGCTGATTATACACTTGGCAGTTGGGGGAGGTAAGGAAAGGGAGGTTTCAAGAGGATTTTTGTATGTTAAAGAAGACTCACAGGATCCCGGAGGCCTTGCCATTGTCAAGCTAAGGTTGTTTTTCCGTCTAGCAAGGCATTAACGGTGAGATAGCTGGGAGCTTCCTGGAGGAACATTACACTCTGCTGCTTCAAGGATCTGTCAATGGGCTGCAGGTTGTAAGGACATTTAACTGTATCTACATTTCCTTCTGGAAGCTAGACCATTGATAGAAATGCTTTGTTCTTGTAAATTGGTAAGACTTTTGTAAACAGAGGGAGACCCCATGTCTTGCAGGATTGTGATCTCTGTAAGTTAACTATTTGTTTTTCCTTTAAGGCAGCCGGGAGTGTCTTGAGGAATGTCACATATATCCCATGGTGGGGGGATTTGTGGGGTGTCAGGTTCTGCCTGTCTTCAGCTAGCCTTCTGCTCCCTCATTTCTGTATTTTCAAGGAGCCTGGGCTAGGTGTGACTGCCTCCCCTCCCGATTCCATCCTGGGGGGCAAGCTCAGCCTGGAGCAGAAGGGAATGTGAGAAAAGGTTTACAGCTCTTGGCGTCCAGAGCAGAAGGGCCAGTTCCGACCTGGAGGCCAGATGATATATTTTAAATAACCAGGCTCCCAAGGTTATTCACACAGTCTCACAAACAACACTTAGCCCGGCCGTGTGTGTGCAGGTCCCGGTGGCCGGTTCTGAGGGACACATCACAGAAACATCTAGCCATATAGAACAATCTATTCAGCAATTGCTTTTTTCTGTGAACTGACAAATCCTATGGGGGGGATGCTATTTCTCCAGTAAATTTTCCTGTACCAAATTTTATGAACTCTTTGTATATTTGTGGCTCAAACTCTGCGAGTTGGGCTACTTACCTTTATTGTTGATTATTGTTCGACTCACTGAGTATCTTGGAATTTGCTGAACTCCTTCCTCCCTTCCTCTCTCTCTCTTGCTCTCTTAACTTTTCTCTCCGACTTAACTTACCCAACGGATCAGGTATGCTGGGCTTGACGCCCCTTCCTGACCATTACTCCACAGAACGTTAGTTTACTAGTTACACTGCCCATTTACTGCATTCTCAGGTTTGTGCCAAAATTTTAAAAACACAAAAAACTGGAGGCAATGTAATTCAGAAGATTTTGCATTCGTCTGGAGTAACACGCTAATTCTTTAAAACTTAAAAAGTATGTAGTGCTAAATCACAGTGATTTTTTGTTTTAACTGCGCGCTTGGTTGTCTTCAAAATAACAGAACAGATTGCTCCTCCCGCTCCCCCCCCCCTTAAGAATTGCGAAGAAAAGTCCCGGGGCCCGTAGCTCTGGGTCTCACGGTTCAGCTTCAGTCCGCCGCCTCCGGGTTCCTCCAGTCGGAGGTGCGCGGGGCGGCGGCGGACTGGAGGCCTGTCCCCGGGGCACAGGTCGGGGGCGGGGCGAGCGGGACGGTTCAGGCAAGGAGGTGCGTGCCGGGCGCGGGCTCGCGGGGAGGGCCCCCGAGGGCCGTTTGCAGCCCCGCCCCAACCCCGCGGGGGCGGGCGCTCGTCAGCTCAGGTCCTAGCAGCTTACAAAAGACCTTTAGAATGGAGTCTTCATATAATAGTAAAACAGTTTCCCTCTCGTCCACAGAGTCATTTACGGGGCAAGTGACAATCCTGGTAAGATTGCAGGGTGCGAGGATGTGGGCCGGCCGGCGGACGGCAGTGTGCAGGGCACCGCTGCCAGGACCTTTCGAGGCGAGCTTCCCGGCCAGGACCCGGGAAGGGTGGCGCGTGCGCACCCCTGCCAGGACCTTGTGCGGGGAGCGCCGCTGCCAGGATCCAAGAGCGTGAAGCACACCTCTGCCAGGACCCTGCGTGGAGCGCACCGCTGCCAGGACCCTGCGTGGGGCGCCCCGCCGTCCCCGCCCCGCGCGTCCCCGTCGCCATCCTTGTCCCCGGCCTCGGCTCTCCGGCCGTCCCCGCTGTCCTCCGCGTCTCGCGCCCGCCTCGCCCGCACGCCCTGGTCACCGTCCCTGCGCC